GATTTTTGGCATAAAAGAAAAATCAATAATTTTGACCCATACAATGTAGTGTTGGCTATTGCTACAAACAAACCCATGCTACTTATGACTGGTTTTGTGGTCCAGGGTCACATATCAGTTGTGGTATTTATTCATTCATTCATTCAACCAATTCATACAAATAAACTGAATCATTTAGGAATGAAAGAAATTATTGTCTGAGTGAATAATTGAATCATTCATTCAACCGTTTCACTGATTCAAAACAAATGAACTGACCATCTTTATGAATGAGTTATCAGTTCATTCACTCAACCGATTGGTTCAAAAATGCTGATTTTTTAAATAATGAATGAATGAATTAATGTATTATTTTCATCCATTAATTCATTCTAATATTACATTAACTCTGCATGAAACTTTTTTTTTTTTTTTAGAAGACCATATTAACCCTTAGCAATGAACTTGACGACACCTTGAGAGACACCAATACTTAATTAATTTAGGGGAAATTCACTCTATTTGGTTATAAAAGTCAAAGTGTGTAACCCCAGAAAAAAAAAAACACTCTAATCTCATCTCAGCTTTGATACTCTTATCATCGCAAAGGACAATCACCAACAAGGGCACATCCCTTTGAGACGTGCTGGTTACAGCGATAAGACACACATGATGAAGAGTTCATGCAGCGTGTCACGTAGAGAAGAGCGCAGCCTTCATCCGCTGCATTAAAACTGCAACAAGAAGCCTCTTACTGGACAGTAGCAAGACAGACAAAAGAATGGTGCTTCTTCCATGTGTCAGCATGCAATGTGGAAGTTCAAAGACCTGTCGCACAACCATGCATACGATCATAATGTAAGCGAAAATGAAATGCCTGCACTCAATACGTGATTCATCCGCACCTGCCCTATTGATATTCCATAAGTGTGAAATGGAAATAGCGCTGCTGAGCTTCGTTCCCCCAAATTTGACTGTAAGATGAGAACACTCAATAGCTCAATTTGATCACGTACATCCCAGTCCTTCTTTTCAGCCCGACACCATGCACATGCAAAAATTGCTTGCCTGTACACACAGAGCTGTAATATCTGAAATAGAGTATTTTAAGCAGTCAGGCACTGTGCTAGAATGATCCCAAGAGTCAACAGTATAGAGCCGCTCTCACAGCGAGTGTCGGGAGGTTTAAAGTTTATCAGTCCAGCAATTGGTTCTGAGCTTCTTAGATAAGGAGGCGATTAGAAAAGTGAGCAGGTAGAAGTCCTGTCTGCTCCAAAGTCAAACCTGAATGCAAGTCGCTGTAAAGTTCTAGACTCATATTTAGCAGATTTCTGATTCGATTACAATGACAAAGGCAGCAAGACCAGACATACGTCACACACTCAGCAGATTCAGTAACTTGTGAGCGTTCTGGATTGGGTTTTTAATTTAACTAGCAAATGAGGAGTTATGCTCACACCATGAAACCCAGAGAAGATATGTGGGTTGAATAAACCCATTTCTGCCAGTGGGGCACTTGGGAAACTGCAGGGAGACAGGTGGGCAGACTCTAATGCAGA